CGCTTCACTTATCTGCCCCGGGCCGTCGGGCAGACTGGCTGAGAAGTAGGACATGGGCTTGGGAGACCTCGACCCCATGGGAGACTGCAGCACCCATTTCCCGAGTCGCTGTGCCGAATTGTTCAGGCCCTGCCCTTGCTGAGCCCCCCCCGACTCCGAAGGCCTGTGGGCGGGACTCCACTCCCGCGTCCTGCCGTCAGGAGTGACTTACGCTGCGGGGACGGATACGAGGCTGCCTCATCCATCGGACTGTCACTTCTCCAGAGTGGGTGCATCTCCTGCGCTGGCCCTCCCTCTGACTGCGCGAGCCACTGCAGACACTCAGCCACACGCGAGCCAGAAGATGGTGTCGGGAGAGCAGGCTGAAGGGTGCTTTCCGGGGGAGGGGGAACTCCTGCCACCGCTCTCGCAACAGAATAAGAACCCTCGTGGATGGGGCCGGCACTGTGGCATAGTGGGTGAAGCTGCCGCCACCTGCAGTGCCAGCATCCTATATGGGCGCCGGTTCGAGTCCCGGCTGCTCCTCTTCCAATACAGCTCTCTGCTGTGGCCTGGGAAAGCAGTACAAGATGGCCCTAGTGCTTGGGTTCCTGTACCTGCGTGGGAGACCTGGAGGAAGCTTCTGGCTCTTGGATCCTGGCTTTGGATTGGTCCAGCTCTGGCCATTGGGACCATTTGGGGAGTGAACCAGCGGATGGAAGACCTCTCTCCCTCCCTCTCTCTGCCTCTCTACCTCTACCTCTTGAGTAAATAAATAAAATCTTAAAAAAAAAAAGTAAGTAAAGATAAAAGTGATTGCATTCCCCTTTTTTCCTCTGCCCATCTTAATGGAGTCAAGCTGTAAATATACAGTTACATAAAGACACACACACGCATGCACACACGTGAGTGAGTATATGACGGCATGGTAAAATCGGCCGAGGGAAAGTGGAACTTATCCACACTCTACGACAGATGGATGACGATGCGGTGGGATGGGTGTTATCAATCACATGGCCAGTGGGAACGGACTTAACAGAGCGTGAGCAATCCCCTGAAATTGGATTAAAGAGGAGTATACCTTTGCTGTTACCTTTAAGGGCAAAGTTGAAGTAGGCGGAGCTCTGGCCCGCGTCGTTGGACGCCCTGCACTCCACCGTGCCATTGTGCTTGAAGGCGCTCGAGTCGATGGCGCTCTGGACCACCGGCTTCCCGAAGGGCTGCTCCGACGCATTCTGGACCTGCACGGCCACCGGCCACACCGGCGCCGAGCACCTGTGGGCCGGAGCAGAGCCCCGCGGCCTGCGGTCAGCGGGCACGGAGCGGGCGGGAAAGGGGAGGCAGGCTTCGGAGTTCAACGCGGGCCACAATCCGACTCCCGCTCCCACTCCTGCTCCGTCCACGTCTGCCCAGTCCCGTGGACGCCCCGAGACTCGCCCCAGGCAGCTAACGCCCACGTTATGGGGGGGTGGTGGTGGTTACTGAACCAGCTGCCATGGGAGAGACCCCCGTGGGCCAGCAGAGCGAGGAAGGGGTGTGAACGGTGGAGAAGGGGCACAGGGTGGTGGTGCCCAAAACCGGGCAGAGCCGACCACCTGACTCGCAACGCCTCCAGCCCGTCGTGTGCCGGCTGCTCAGTCTGCCCCGACCACCCGCACAGCCAGAGAGTGGCTGCGACGTGGGCCTCCACCCATCTGTGCTAAGAGACTCGAGGCATGGGGCTTGCTTCCCCAGGGGCCTGGGACCCTCTTTATATCGGTCACGGCCATGTCCCCCGGTTGGCCGCGGCGACCAGGTCCCCGAGAAGCACCCGCGAGGCACCCGGTTCCAGACGTGCCCTGCTCAGGGAAACCCCGTTGCAAAGCTTGCGGACGCCATCCAGACTTTTTGGCAACTTGGCAATTAACTTGGGAGGTAATTTGTTCATGGTAATGACAGCCACATTTCCCACACACATTACCTCCTGTGTACAGAATGGAAATCGAATTACCCTGTCCTGGAAAATCGCTTTATCTACCTGCAGGCTAGAAATTGCATGATAAATCCAAAAAGATAACCACCCAAACAGACAAGTCGTTCAGTAATCATTTTTTAGCAAACAAAATTAATGTCGACCGAGAAAAATACAGCCATTATCCCCTTTCTGAAAAGGCACATAGAGAGGAAAAAAAATAATCAAAACAAAGCTTGAAAAAAAACCATCTGAAAACGCGTTTGGATTTCAAGTGAACGGCCGTTCTTTCAAGAATCAGCCTCTCACCTCTGCTCGGTTCCCAGACAGAAATACCAGTCTATGGTGGGCTCCGGGAATCCTGCTGCCTCACACTGCAGCACGCCGTTCACCAGTCTTTTGGAAGTCAGGATCTTTGGTTTCGCTGCAGGAAGAGAAACGGCCATACGTCAGACTGCTGGAAACCTCGCTCGGAGCCGAGGAACCTCCCGGGCTGCAGGGGCGCCCCAGGGGCCACGTGGCTCAAGGCGGAGGGCACGGCACGGAGAGGCGGATGCCAGGGTTCAGCCAAGACACACGTCCCACCTGCAGCTGCCCGGCCTACAGGCAAGGAGCCCCGGGACCTGTGAGCCGGGCGGTGGCTGACGTGGAAGGCGGGGGGACCCTGGGCCGGTGGCCACTTCCGGGAAGGGGACTGGAAAGGTTGTCTCTAAACAAGACCTGGGGATCCCTAACCATCCCAAGGATGGACATCTGTCTGCTCCAGGGATTCCCGCCAGTGGGGTGTCAAGCGGGTGCACCTGTCACAGGGTTTAAGTCATCGCGGGAACTGGAAGCCCTGCTCTCTCTTCTTGGAGGTGGTGCCGATATTGACAGAGCAGCTAAAACGCAGGAGAAACACTGCACGCGCCCTGGTAACTCCGATCTGTATTTCAAATGCAAAGCACGGACGGGAAATCAGCCCCCGAATTCTACTCATCCGCGCACGTCTGAACCCGGCTACAGACACCAAGAACGCACACGGCACCGGCGGGGGTGCCACTGCAATCAACGACCCTTAGCAATTTCAAATTCCTGCCGTTACCCAAGTGGCGGAGGATGAACCTGGGCACGGCTGCTCCAAGGCTCCAGCCCTTTGAGGAAGCCCAACTCGCCCTGAAGTGTCCTGATGGAGGGTAGGGGGTCGCAGCCTGCTTCCCTGGGGCGCCCGTGGGTTGGGCACAAGGAACACGTGTGCCGGCCCCCACGCCTGCCCGCCCTCTGCCCTCGGTCACACGGCTGAACCTGTCTCCTGACGCCTGCTTCCTTGGGGACAACAGTGCCCGGCTCACAGCAGACGCTGGGGCGGCCGCGTGGAACAGCACAGAGCACGCCAAGGCCGGGGCGCAGCCGGAAACCAACCCCTCACTGTGCACCAAGTCTGCTGTAGCTCAAGCTAACTGTATTTGTCTGAGATCACTATTCGCCGAGAGGCAGAGAGAGCCCCATCCAGACCTCCGTGGGCAGCAGGGGGGCCCGTTCACGCGCCCCCCGCCCCCGGATGTGAATCAGCAGGCAGCTGGAACCAGTTCTGGACTCAGGGTAGTCCGACGGCTGACGAGGGGGCCGCAGCCGTGGGCCAAACGCTCACCCCTGATTGGCGTTTCCCAAAGACAGCGAGGTGACGTGTAAGGGTGTCGACCTGCCGTCCTCAAGCCCCCGCGAGGAAACACGGAGTGATCAGAGGCCTGGGAGGCTTCGCCACCCTCAGCAAGGGAACACGGACAAGTGACATCTCTGGAGAGCCCTGGCCGGGATCAGTGTCCATGCTCATGGCCCCCACCTGCCACTCAGCCTGGCCCTGCTGATGGGCAGGCGCTAGGCTCGCGCTCTCTCGCTCGCTCGCTCTCTCTCTCTCTCTCTCTCTCTCTCTCACACACACACACACACACACACACGCCGGCCAGTCTCCAAAGCCATGTCAAGGTGGGAGCAGCCTTGAGTCTGCTACGATGCCAGCTTCATGAATAGAGCAAGACGACGAGCCATCCTCTCGCGAAAGCATCCATCTGGCACGCTTCACTTAATTACCACAGGCAGCCGTGTAGACGCGCTGAGAAGTAGGACACAGCCCAGGGAGACGGTGGCCCCTTGGGAGACTGCCGGCGCCATACTCTGTGTCGCCCTGGCCCATTGAAGAGTCACCTCCCTTGCTGAGCCACCCCCAACTCCCGAGGCCAGTCAGTGGGTCTCCTCTCCCGGTTCCTGCCGCACGGAGTGCCTTACGCTGTGGTGCCAGATCCCAGGCTGCCTCCTCCATCGGACTGTCCCTTCTCCAGAGTGGGTGCATCGTCTCGCTGGCCCTCCCTCTGACTGCGGGACCCACTGCAGACACCCAGCCACACGCAAGCCACAAGACGGGGTCGGGAGAGCAGCCTGAAGGGGGCTTTCCGGGGGAGGGGGAACTCCTGCCACCGCTCTCGCAACAGAATAAGAACCCTCGTGGATGGGGCCGGCACTGTGGCATAGTGGGTGAAGCTGCCGCCACCTGCAGTGCCAGCATCCTATATGGGCGCCGGTTCGAGGTCCAGCTGCTCCACTTCCGATCCAGCCCTCTGCTGTGGCCTGGGAAAGCAGTAGAAGATGGCCCAAGTCCTTGGAGCCCTGCACCTGCATAGGAGACCTGGAAGAAGCTCCTGGTTCCTGGCTTCAGATTCGCGCAGCTTCGGCTGTTGCAGCCAATTGGAGAGTGAACCAGCAGCTTAAAGACTCTCTCTCTGCCTCTGCCTCTCTGTAACTCTGCTTTTCAAATAAATAAAACTTTGAATAAAAAAAAAAAAAAAAGAAAAAAGAAGAACCCTCGTGGAGGCCTGGCTGGGCGAATTTCTCTTTCAACACTGGGACTGCCACTTAACACTGAGTGGGAATTCTACGCAGAGTGGGTAGGGATAACGGGATGGGAACAGACCTCCCGCAGATGCACACCCACACTCCGCAATGTCACAACAGATCTGCAGCTGAACGCGACACTAACTCAAAGAGGAACAAAGGGAGCGGCCACCTTCAGACGCTGTGTCGGCAGCAGGCGCACGCAGAGTCCTATATTTTTCTAATTTTATGTTATAAGGAACATGTAGCCAAAAATAAGCCTCTAAAACCTTTTTAATTAAAAATTTGGAACGGCTCAAAGTTTTATAATCAGCTATGTCTTGCTCCGGTTGCGAGCGCTGTGAGAGCCAAGCCTTCCAGCGGGACACCTGGTGGCACTTGCCCTGCCGCCGAGGCTGGCCGCGATGCCGGCCGCCTGGCCTGCTTGCTGCGTGCTGGCTAACTGCGGTCCCAGGTGGGTCAGGACCCGAGGCGGGTTGAGCAGCTTTGGTCCGGTTGGGCTTGGAGCGCCCTAAGCACGTCTACGTGTGTCAGCATCACCCAGGGAAGAGGTACAGCCCCCGGACCCATCTGCAGAGCTGCAGCAAGCCGGGGAGCTGACCCAACAACGCGCTTCCTAAAAATAATTTTAAAAAGAGCACCTTCGAGAAACCGCTCGCAAGGCCAGGGCTAGAACGAGGCAGGAGAAGCACCGGCGGGGGGGTGAAGTCGCAGAAGGCAAGTCCCTCCTCTCTCACCAGTCCTGCCCCCTGCCCGGTGCTGGGAGACCACCCCCCCCCCAGCGGCAGTGACACCAGCAGCGTGGGCTACACCGCACGAGTGGCATTGTGAAAATGTTTCCTGCATAAAGAATGAGCTAGGTGGGAATCGGATTCCTGAACGTGAAAACCTGGCTCATCCGCAGCTTATAAGGGCCTCCGTGCACCGCGCGCGGCATTAAATGTACGTTTTGCTTTTAAAGATAGGTCAGCTCTGTACGGCTCTGCCGGTGAGGCCCGAGCGCAGATTCTCGGCTGCTCCGCGAGGAGCGTTCCCTAATTCCTCCCAAGCTGGAGCTGCAGATAAGCCTGTGCGATGTGCAGGTCCTGCCTTCCCCGTGCGGAGAAAGGAAAGGTTCTCCGACTTCCCAAGGACAGCGGGTTCGAGTCGCTCTGGCGTCTCCAGCAACGCCGATGGCCGGCGTGCAGGCAGTCACCTTCGGAGAACGCGCTGTGCGTGCAGTTCAAAAGCCTGAGCAGCCCCTGCCTTATCCCCCAGATTGTAATCCTGGAAAACACTCCCTTGCACCACCATCCGCGCCACGCAGAAGGCAAGAACAAAACGAATTTCAAGGATAACGAGAGCTGGCAGCCGAGGGCTGGGGGGAGACACGAGAGGAATCGGCCCCAGGGCGGGGGGGCAGGGGAGGTGTTTCTAGAAGTCTCTCCTCTCCCGGAACCGCCCCACCAACCCCTCTCTCCCCACACCCACACTTGCTCTCATCAGCAGGACAAAGAACACAGACCGGAGTCTGCAAATAGCACTAAGCAGAGAGGGGCCGGAGGCTGAACTTGGCTTTGCACAACTCCAGGCTGGCGCTCCAGCGATTTGTCCCTGCCCTGGTTATTATCTGGGTGAAGGCGACATTCCTGCCATAATGCTGTTTAATAAAGGAATTAAAATCGGCTGAAACAGCAATATGAAAATAACTCAAGTTGGCTTCCACTTATTAAAGGGGCTATCACAGTTTTTAAAAATCCCCCACATGCATATTTTGCATATAAACAGTGGCACTATGCTGTTCCCGTGACACGGGGCTGATGGATGCTGACATGTGAGTTTTCTATCCTCATGTGTCCTGAAATCTCCCCGATTTTTTATCAACTATTTAAGTCCCAGTTTGTGAGTCATTTAAAACCGGGCAGCAGTCTGAATCTGGTCCATGGGCTGTGGTTGGCCGAGCCCTCCCTAAAGTCTGCCAGCGGTTAAGACGTCAGCCTCCCATATCCGACTGCAAGGGTTCAAGTCCCGGCTCCGCTCGTGAACCCAGCTTCCAGCTGATGCACACCCCGGGGGGCAGGAGGTGCCACCCACCCAGGAGACCCGGATGCAGGTCCTGGCTCTGAGCTTCAGTCCGGATGGGGGCATCTGCGGGGTGAATCGGCAGGTGGCAGGTCTGTCCCTGTGTCTCTCTGCTTCACACAATAATAAACAAGAGAAGCAATAATAAGAGAAACGGATCTCTCCATCCGAGATGAAGTTGCAAACGCGATGCCTGCTTGGATGCTGGCTTTGGCACAGCCCAGCCCGGTGGGTGGGGGCTGGGCCAGCGGTGCAGCTCGGGGCAGGCCAGGGATGAGCCACAGCTTCCCGACTCCGCGAAAGTGGCTGGCTCGCTCTGTCACATGACTCAGAAGTGGAAAAGTCCCGCTCCTAACCCTGGATCTGTTTAAATTACAGGTGGCCCCCCGGGCGTCTGTGCACAAAGGGGCTACCCGGATATGAACACACACACACACACACACGGCTCCCCAGGCTCAGCCTCAATCCAGGCCACCCCACAGTCCACGGGGTCAC